TAATTTGGCTGTTCTGCGGAATCGAGTAGACCTTGATGCCAGGTGTCGAGGGCTTAATGGGAACCGCGACTGTTTGGCCGTTGGTTTGCTTCCAAGATTTGCCAGCATCCTCCGACAAGGCAAAGTAAAAGTCGTGGTTTGTGCTGGCATCGGGAGTTTCCCGGACCGTCCATGAAACGAATAACTTCCCGGCTTCGCTACTGATACCATTGACGTAGGCATTGTTGTCCTCGCCCTGCAAGTACCTTCCGACGGCGGTCCATTTTCCAGTAGTGGCAGAGTAGCGGTGGATATATGAGTCTCCCGCACCAGATTGCCCTATCCGGAATTCCATCAGGAGATCGCCACCATCGATAGACTCGAAGCGAGGGTAAGTCAGCGGTGTCCATGGGCCGGTGGAACCTGGCAGACTGTGCTGCACAGCTCCGAAAGCACTTGCCGTCCATTCAGAGGGAACAGTCTTAGCAATGCCAGCATTGCTCACACGATAGTTGAGCGGAACATCATGGTGGTCAAAACTTAAATGTATTTTTCCATCGCCGCTGATGCCCACGGAAATAGTGTTGTGCTCATCGAGTGTCGTCTGTTCGTAGTCGCTGAAGGCAAAGTACTGCCAGTCGCCAAGCGAAGGCGAAATTTTTCGCCGTCCAAGATTGACATAATGCTTGCCGTATCCAGAGGCTGTCTTGTAGAAGGCTACATACTGGTAGTCTCCAAACGTCGTCAAGGCGTGTTGTTGGAAAGCAAGACCATTGAGACGGACAGACCCCTGCACATCATCTGTGATGTTCCAGTTCTTCACCGAGGTAATTGAAAGGGCAGAAGTAAGGGAGGAGAGCCCTGCTAAAGCTAATAGGGATGAAAAGAGCTTCATAGTCACGCAGGTGAGCACAACAATAGCGGCGCAATCTTGCAACTTATGCGATGTTTACTATGAGCCTAGCAATATATCGATATGACTAGGTATAAGGCATTAATTCCGAACACAATGCATCATCTGGTCAATACGGCGCCGCTAGTTGATCCGCTAACTCGATGCATCAGTGCCGGATTTTCGGGGTATCATTGACACGAGGAGGAGAAGCAGTGCACGTGTATGGGTAAGTTACCTGTTTTGGAATGCAGGTATTCGGGAATGAAGTCCAGCACTATGCTCATTATTATGAATGCATGTATGTTCATGCTTTTTGAAGCAACAAAAGCAAGTCGGATCTCATTCTTGTGCATCAAATTCGCGACAAGGAGCGCGGAGTATTCATATAGAAGATATGAGGATAGGTGCTTTCCTTCATAGAGACATGCGGACGGATGTCCTCTTCTTGTGGCTAATAAATCAACGCATTGGCAGATTGCTGGACTGGTAGTAACGCCCGTATTTGATACATAATGCGACGTACTAGTAGTGCTAGTATACCGCCACTTCTTTCTTCCCTCTCGCCTTGTATGACTTGACTAACGACCCGCTCAAACACGACAACTGCAACCTCAACAACAGCATCAGTATCTTTGCCCAACCGACCCTGAGCCGGTCCCGGACGATAACAACCATAGGCTAGAGGTCTCGACAAGCGATACGTTGCCGAATATGGCAGGAGCAACTGCAGCCAAGGGCTGTTCCCTTGGCATGTACTCCAACAGGCAAAATGCGCGTCTTGACTGACGTATCGCCTATCGTCGAAAAACGGGGAAGGAGAGGAAAGGAAAATGGGATAAGAGGATTGTATGCGCAATTTGTGTTGTGGTGTCTCCATCCCCATCTCAAGTGACACGGCGAGGATGAGGCAGTCTTCTACTATCTTGCTGTTCGCAGCATACGCGTCTGCGCAAACCCAGTACGGGGAAAACCATGGCGCTGTAAGCCTTGATTCGCAGCTTGTAGAGCAGGCGGCATTCCCAGCGCCCAATGTGATGCTTTATAGCCCTGCGTTCATGTCCAATGCTACTTTCGATCCTGGATGGTTCGAGGGCACCGAGGGGGCCACTTCACACGATCAATTGGGTACACAAATCCCAGTTGCTGGTCTGCGATTGCTCATTCTAACATTTGCACAGAAAGATTCATCAGTGGCCTTGCTGCAAAGAACCCTTCATGGATGAAGTACCAAGTTGCCGATTTCCTCAGCGAAGAAGGCAAACCATTTCCCTACGCCCTCCTCTCGGCGTCATCCGCATCAAACACGACGTCAGAGAAGCTCAGAGTTTGGATCCAAGGCTCAGTCCATGGCAACGAACCCGCTGGCGATGAGGCCGCACTCGCGTTGCTCGGGGCCATGGACAACGACCCAACATGGGCCGCTGCTTTGCTAGAAAAAATGGACATACTCGTGCTACCACGTTACAACCCAGACGGCAACGCCTACTTTCAACGTACCTTGGCCACAAACTTTGATCCAAACCGCGATCACACCAAACTCGCTCGCCAGCAGACGCGCGATATCAAGGAATGGTTCAGCACCTTTTCACCTACCATTGCCATTGACTTGCACGAATACGGCGCAGCGACGCTCTACTCGACCCACTACAGCAACGCAGCCGATGCCATGTATTCGAGCGCCAAGAATCTCAACATACACGCCGAGATCCGCGAGCTCTCGGAGACGCTCTTTGCACCGGCCATAAATGCGTCGCTCATCTCTCGAGGCTTGCGCGGCGAGCAGTACATGACAGCTTCGAGCCGCAACCCGCCACGCCTCGTCGAAGCCGGCACCGACGCAAAGATTGGGCGCAACGCCATGGGCCTGACGCAGTGCATCACGTTCCTTTTCGAGACGAGGGGCATCGGCATTGCGAATCAGCAGTTCAAGCGCAGGACCCTAGCGGGTCTGCAGATGATTCTCGGTGTGCTCGAAGCAGCAAGAGACAATGCCGAGCAGGTCAAGAGCACAGTGGACAATGCTATTGCGGATTTTGCGGCAAGCAACCAAGACATTGTGGTTACCGACTACTCCAACTACGCTAATCGTACGTTTACAATGGTCGATCGACGCACGGGAGAAGTCGTTCAGCTGCCTGTCGAATTCGCAAGCAATACCCCGGCAACAGCTAACCTCACCCGTGCGAGGCCCCAAGGCTACATCATCCCCCGTGCATGGGCTGATCTCGCTGAGCGCTTGAGGGTCTCTGGCTTGGACGTTGAGACCATGCCAGAGGCGTTTCAGGGAGAGGTCCAGGTCTACAACATTACTTCTTCAAAGTTTGCGTCGTCGTATTACGAGGGAGCAATCTTGAACACGGTGACTACGGAGAGTTCTGTGCAGCAGGTTTCGTTGCCAGCGGGCAGCTTCTTCATCAGCGCCGCCCAGAAGAATGCGGGCTTGGCCTTTGTAGCCCTGGAGCCCGAGAACATTGACTCTTATGTTTCGTTTGGATTGCTGCCAGTCGAGGTTGGTGACCAGTATCCAGTCTTCCGTAAGATCTAGCTACATGATCATGCATGCATATTTCATAGACTCGGTACCCGTACGTACCCATCCAAGAGCATATAGAAAAAAACATCTCTAATTAATAGTACAAACATTATCACCGTCGTCCATGGTATCAGCAGTGACCTCAAAAACATGAATACCTGGCATACTATGCTGTGACATCTCCACTTTTCGCACGCTTGGCATCTCTCTCTTCGCCCACCACTGCATCCGCCCGTCGCTTGCCCTCATCTTTTCTTGCATTGTCTTTTTCCTCGCGAGCAGCCCGTCGGGCCTCCTTGTCCTGCTTCTCTTTTTCTTTCCTAAGTGCTTTGCTTTCGAACTCATGCCAGTCCCCTTCAAGTTCTTTCAACGCCTCGGCTCGTTTTGGCGCAGGGGCTTCGCTGGTGAAAAAGGGATGCTCGAGCACGTCGGCCGCCGCCGGCCGTGCATTTGGGTCAAACAGGAACATTGCCTGAAGCAGCTCGAAAGCCATAGGACTGACACGATCCTTGTACTTTTCTGCAAACGTAGACTTCTTGCGTTCGGTTGGGCGTAGAAGCTCAAACCACTGCATATCCACGATGCCAGGCCAGTCCTGTACTGTTGGCGTACCAAGGACATTGTAGATCTTTTCAAGCTGATTGATTTCTCCGCCATCACCGGGGAAAATGGCGTGTCGCGTGAAAATCTCCACAAGTACGCATGCTGCGGACCAGATATCGACTGCTGGGCCATATTGCGTTTCTCCAAGTAACAATTCGGGTGATCGGTACCAGATGGTGATAACGCGATTGGTGTAATCCAGTTTGCCACTCTTCGAGTAGAAACGGGCGAGACCAAAATCCGCCAGTTTTAGTTGTCCGGTATTAGACACGAGAATGTTGGCCGCCTTGATATCGCGATGTAAAACCCCACGTCGATGGAGATAGTCAAGACCTTCGAAGAGCTGCTTTGCAAGGTCTTTCTTGTGCGATGTTTCAAGTTTAAATGTTGGATGGTTTAAAAGACCGGTTAGATCGTGGGAAAGGTATTCGAAAACCATGTAACAATCATTCTTCTCCACCATCACCTCACGGAGGTTGACGATGTTGGGATGGTTGAGAGACTGTAACAGTTTAACTTCGCGAATGGCCGTGACTGGAAACTGCAAAATGTCAGCAAAAGACCTTGTGTATGTTCATAATGATTACATACGCCATCGCGTTCACCTTCCATACGAATCTTCTTTAGTGCAACCATATCCTTTGTGTAAACATGCACTCCTTTGAAGACCTTCCCATATGTCCCTGATCCGACCACTGACTCGTTGCCAGGTTTCCTGTAGTACACTGATTCCGAGGCAGCATGCTCTGGGGCCAGTGTAGGTCGTGGCTTTTCTCGCTTCCTTGTAATTGTCCTGGTTTTTGATATTTGAGGCGGCGGCGTCCTTCGTTCTGGTCGAGTAATAGGGCGTGTATCTGGCCGCCTGTCATCATGCCTTCGTGGAAAGTACGGCTCCCGGCGGTCCCTTGTGTCTCGTATATCCCTTGGGTCTCGCAAGTCCCGCGAATCCCTTTCCCGAATATCACGCCCGTCTCGAACATCCCGAGGGTCCCTAAAGTCTCGGTCGCGCGGGTCTCGGAAATCCCTTTCCCTACCACGATAATAGGGATCACGGGAATCCCGGATGTCTCGAGGGTCTCGTTCACGGGGATCTCGATAGGCTGGCTTGCGGTCGTAATAGTTATCGTAGCGACGGTCTCGTTCCCTGATGTCTCGTTCCCGAAGGTCTCGCTCCCGGTTATGATCGTAATCCCTCTCTCTTGGATCTCTGTCTCGATCACTTCTTGACTCGGTATAGCGGGGGGCCACGTCGCGTGCTGCTTCAACTTTTGCTTTTGGATCGAGTAGTGACTCTTTCAACGCTGGCTCAGCTTTCTCGGGCTCTTCAAGCCCCAATTTTGATTTGCTTGCTGGAGGCACCGGATTCTTTGTCTTGAGTGAGAACCCGAATCCCGACTTCGTTGCTGTTGGGAGCGTAGCTGAAGATTTGGCCGGAGTGGCGGGTTTTTGCTCTTCTTTTGAGCCCTCATCCTCTACCCGTAGATCTTTTGAAGGGCGGAAAGGATTGTCGTCAGCGTCGACAGATGTGGAATCAGCTACCGTCTGTGATGTGGGAAGAGGCTGTGGGCGTGGCGCTTCGGTGGCAGGGCGACCGCCTCGTGTTCCAGACGCGGGTGTCCATGAAAGATTCGAAAATTGGGTAGGCGCAGCGCCTCGACCGCGGCCACCAGGCCCACTAAAGGGAGCACCTCCGGCAGGGCCTGAGATTCGCCGATCAGAACCGTGAAAGCTGTTACCGCGGAAACCACCGTGTCCACCCCGATGCGAACTGGATTGAAAACCAGATTGAGGATATGATTGGTTTGAGTAGTAACTAGGGGACTGACTTTGATGATATGGAGATTGGCCTGAAGTGTAACCATGTGGAGGAGATCTGTCAAAGTCAGCGCGAAGTGGGCAGATGTTGAATATAACTTACCCGTGATTTGGATAGGGCTGGTTGCTCCAACCCCCTCTGCCACTGTGGTAGGGTGACTGATTTTGAGGCGAGTATTGATTATGTGAAGGATAGGGCGGGGATTGCTGAAACCCACCACGGCCTTGGTAATGGTAGGCTCCTCTCATCTTGTCGTCGTCTCTACGACCCCTGGACGTATCCGAATTGTAGCCAGATCCAGATACTGGCGAGCTTCTGCGTGAGACGTGCTTAGTAGGGTGTCTTGACTTGGACCCCCGAGAGGGTGAGCGAGATTGACGACGTCGTATGGGTATGGGAGGTGATCGGCTTCTGCGTGGAGTCCTGGCTCGCTTGAAGCTGGGGGGTGAACTTTTGCGAACAGGTGTTGGGGACCGTCTTCGGAGCGGCGAGCGAGATCTGACGCGTCTCGGTGCTCTGCTGCGACTCCTTGTTCGACCACGAATAGAGCTGGGTTGATAGGACCTTTCACGAGAATGATCCAAGGGCGGCGTAGTCCTCCCGTGAGTCCGCCTCTGGGACAATGCCCTCGGCGACAATTCACGCCTGGATCTTCTATCGGGCGAAACCGATCTCTTCCGTGCACGTTGTGTTGCTGGCCTGTAGTAGGTATCCACGGATGGCGACTGACGCCTGTGTGAAGCGGGCGGTAAGTAACTGTCGGGCGTGTTTCGTCGAGGCAGCCGATCGCGGTCAGAGGTATGAGGGCGAGGCGAGTATGCCCTTGCCGACGGCCGGCCCGAGGAATCTGCACGTCGTGTTGGCGACCTGGAGCGCACTGTGCTGCGACTCCGCGGGCGTTTTACGCGTTTAGATGATGGCCTAGGGGATGGAGAGCGACTGTGGTAGTGTTTCGAGGATGGCGTCGTGTCGTGGCGGTGGTGGTGATGGTGATGGTGATGATGGTGGTGGTGTCGACGATGGGGGTGGGCAACCCTGTCTGCACTGGCTTCCCTCTCTGAGCCTCGATAGCGGTCTTCCTTGGAGGCGCTCCGACTTCGCCGACGCGTGCGGTCTCTGTCGAAGCTTTTGTCGCGCGAATGGCCTCGCCCGTGTTTGCCTGATGAGCGGGCGTCGTGGTCGTGGGCGCGATGCCTGGAATGATGTCTGCCCGCCCGTGGTGCTGGTGACGATGTCCGAGGGTCGTAGCTGCGGTCGCGGTGGCGGTCTTTGGGACGTTCCCTACCTCGGTCGGGCGATGCCTCAGTTCTCCGCTCGTCTATATCCTGAGCCCGTCGCAGGGCAGCCATAGAGGCAAGAGGATCATCAGAAGTCGCAAGGTTGCAGCATCAAAAGATTCGCGGGTCAGAGCGACAGCCTAGCCGAGCAGGAAGGAACTCTATCTCCGAACCCCCCAGCCGATGATCAGATAGTGAGAGAGAAAAGAAAAAGAAATGCCACTGCAACTGGTCCGAAAGGCAAGCCGGAATGCGCTGCCTGATGTCAGTGCGCTTCTGAATGATGCTGTCGTGGCTGCAGACGCTACTGTTGCAGTGCCTTTGCACCGGCCGGTCCTTTCGCTTGACGCTATCGATGACGCCAAGGCCTCGTGACAAGGAGGCCCTCCTCCAAAGGGCGCATCCTCATGCAAAACCCGAACCCCGTCGCTTCAGTCTCGAGTCCAAGAATGCTTGTGTACTGCGTGCTGCCCACCGCCGTCTTCCGGAGTGTCTGTCTACTTTCCATCTTCTGGCTGCTGTGCATCAAGGGCAGGCCGCCAGGCTTCACGACAACTATCTACTGCATGCAAAAGCGACACGAACCGACTCATGGCAGACAATCCAAACTGCGGAGCCATCGCAGAAGGCAATTCCTTTATCCAGTGTAGGATTCAAAGACGGGTTGAGGACTTCCATTTGGAACGTACGTGTTGGCAAGCGCCTGCACACGAACCGAGAGTGGTTGGATTTCCGCGGATGGTCAAAATGAAAGCCGAGTTGATCTCCGCTGGGCCGTGGATCTGGTCCGATGTTGAGTATCGTGGGCTCATGCGAGTGAGGCAGTCCACTAGGGGAAGGAATGCAGCATATGCTCGTGTCCACAAGGAAGCATGGAGCAGGAGCAACAAACAGGTGTAGGGCGAATGCGCCATGATCCCACAGACAGCAACATGCGGCTTAAGGCCACTGAGTATAGTCGCAGTCGACTCGCTTTACCAAGAGATGACTCCCAACAATACCATCTTCCATATATCGTGACCGAAGGAGCCGGGAACCCAACAAAAATCCCCACCCAAACGACAATATTCCGAGCACACGGCTAGGACACGCGAAGCTGGGTGATGGGCGGTTTGCGGGGACACACCCAGCCGTGACCGATAGGCGACGACGGCTGACAGTTATTGACCTTCCCACCTATTCACCGATAGTGATGCAGTATACATCAGGGGCGCGAACATGGAGAAGAATTAGTAACTAGTTATGCGGTGATGCGCGGCGGGTAAGTGACTCCCTAGAGTGGTGGTGCAATGAGAGCGCGTCCAAAGACACTTCGTGGACCCTCATCTAGCATAGTAGTAAGAGGCACAAATAATAGCGTCCTAAGTCCTGCCACGATAGGCGCAAGCCGGTCGTCTTGTCGCCTGCTTTGCGATGTACTGTGGGCGAAGAGACATGTGCGCATCTTGTGTTGCTGGGAATGGCGGTGAGATGGGACTGCGTAGTAAAGTTGCGAGACAAGCCAGAGCCTGCCTGGGAGGGCGCCAGGTATCGCCGACCACCTCATCTTCGCCGTCTGCCCCTCACTGTAATCATGGCAGTCGTTGCCATCGCCGTCATCGCTGCACCGTCAAAAACAGAGAAGAGAAGCGCCAGCCAAAAGGGTGATGAGCATGAATGGCTGCAGGCGGAGTGTGTTGATGGGGGAGGGTGGGGGTGGGTTAGAAGGGGTGTTGTTGGAGTGCAGCAGAGAGCCGGGCGCTCCCTCCTGGTCTGGCTGCAGTCCGCTCTGGTTCGCGTCACGTGCGCATCCAGTAGTGTGTAGTGTGGCGTCAGGTCATGGCACGCTAAGCCGCATTTCGCCGGGGTTAGGACAAAGTTATTCCCATGCAGTCATACGGACCGGCGCGACAAGGAATTTGTAGGAACCATGTATTACTGGACCGTTTCGCATCTTTTGGCAACTTTGCCCTTGCTCTTATTCTCTTCCCTAAATCTGATCTACTCCCAGTCATAGCCTTGGATAAGTATACCGACATACTAAATACAATAAGCCCCGACCATTCCATCACGAAACCTTATTGCGATATCCCTCACCCCCCACCATCATGGACGCCGACACGACCAAACCACATTCCGCTGTGCCAACACACATGGTGAATGGAGGGTCGCCGCTCAGACTCACGACCGAGGCTCGCGATAAGAAGGAACGGGAAAATCTCTTCAATGCCATTGAGACGTCCAACCGGGGCCGACAGGTGGTAAATTTCGACGGGCCGACTGGTTATTTCCCGGCAAAGGCTTTTGCAGCAAACAACAGTGGTGGCAGTGCGAGCAGTGGACTTGAGATGAGCAACGGCCACATGGAGCACGAATCCGAGGGCGAGGACACCGTCGTGCAAACGCCGCTTGCGACGAGCCGCGCCCACAGCCCATATACCCAACACCCGACGATTGATTTTGACGGGCTTAGCTGGCCCAGCAAGGGCACACGGCATCGGAAGGAGGCGACGGACGAAGAGAAGGCGGAGAATTTGAAGAAGCTGTCGGGCGCTGTACGGACAATGCTTGAGTGTCTGGGCGAGGATCCAGATCGTGAGGGTCTGCTGGACACACCCGAGCGGTACGCAAAGGCACTGCTCTTCTTCACCAAGGGTTACGAGGAGAACCTGCGGGATATCGTCAACGGAGCCGTCTTTCACGAAGACCACGATGAACTGGTGATTGTACGAGACATTGAGATATTTTCGCTGTGCGAGCACCACTTGGTGCCCTTTACCGGAAAAGTGAGTAGACATGTTGCTTCCCTCCCTGGCTTTAGATCATTTGGCTAGATAGAGAGGAACACGTTGACTGACTGTACTGTTGGCATTAGATGCACATTGGTTACATTCCCAACCGCCGCGTCATCGGCCTGTCGAAGCTGGCGCGCATTGCCGAAATGTTTGCCCGCCGGTTCCAAGTGCAAGAGCGGCTGACGAAGCAAGTTGCGCTGGCGCTTTCCGAGATGCTGCAGCCACAGGGGGTTGCGGTGGTGGTGGAGTCGAGCCATCTTTGCATGGTGATGCGCGGGGTTCAGAAGACGGGCGCTACAACGACTACAAGCTGTATGCTTGGTTGCATGCGTTCGCGGGAAAAGACTCGCCAGGAGTTTCTCAACCTTATCAACAGGAGATAGAAGCGTGGGGCTTCAGGTACCACACAATTGGCGTTAGTGTTTGGGATCCGGCGTTCTGCAGGGGGCGGGGAGTTCATCACTCTGACTGGGCGGGCATATTGCGTTGCATGACACAGACGCATAAGCCTTTCAACAGGTTGTGGTTTGTTTTACTTTTTCTCTTGTTCTTCGTCTTCTTTCTTGTTCATTTTCTTCAACATGCCCGACACACACCCACGGCAACGTATCGTCAAATAGACGAAATCTTGAAATTCATGTCAGATACCGTACGCTATGAGATGGACAGTTACACTAAAAACAAACGCATCATGGTGAAGGTGCTGAAGGCCTTGGTGGCTTCTGGCCATAAACCAACGACACTTCTTGATAGGCATGGATGCGCCGATCACGCAAGGCCTGGCGCATCAGAGCCAAGTAGACTTGAACTTCTTCGATGGTCCATTCCATAACGGTGGTGAGTAGATAGATGCTCCACCCTTCTATGCCTTGCTCCCAGTTAATGCGGTTGTAAAGACCAAGCTCCTTGAAGCGCTTATCAGCAGGCCAGCCACCAATAGGCAGTTTCCAGCGGTGTTCAACGACGTTGATGAAACCAGCAGCCTCGACACCAGCCTTGGCCTCGTCGGCGGTACGCAGCGATTTTCCAAACTTCTCACCAAGTTCAAGCGAAATCTTGCCCCACTTGTCAAAGATGGAGCCAGGTTCTACAGTGCCGTCGTCGGATTTGGGAACAACGGACATTTCGAGTTGTTCAAACCAACCGCCGGGCTGGAGGTGGCTGATGGTATGGAATCAGCAGTGAGTGCAGACAAAGGTGGGAACGAGGCATGGTGACATACTCGAGTGCCTCCTGGTAGAACTTGGGCCAATCAGCGACACAGCCAAAGAGGGATCGTGCGTGGATGAGATCAAAGCTCTCTTTGCGAAATAGCCAAGGCTCAGTGAAGTCATCGACCTCGAAGCGAAGGTTGGGGGGTATCATGGAGGGTTGTGTGGGACTGAGGTCGGTTCCCAGCACCTATGTCATAGCATTAGAGCACAGTCTGGGGTGAATGTAGGTTGATATTGGACACTGACCTCGCACGAGGGGAATCTGTCTGCAAAATCGCTGTGGATTGTGTGTTAGTTTGAGGGGTAGAGATGGGTGAGAAACTGACATTGCCCAAATTCCTGTCAAGTTAGTCTGGGGCGACCGTTGAGATGAATTGTTGGTGGTTGCATACCAGTGCCGGTGCCCAAGTCCAATACACGCTAGAAGAAGGGAGCGAGGAGTCAATGCGGGGGTCCAAGCATGGCAGCCATGGTGCGACGTACCATTGGGTCTTTGGTCAGCGGGGCCATGTACAGCTCGCCATCGAGGAGGAGGAGACATATGTGATGGCTATAGCGGCTCAGTCAGCATGGCGGCACATGGTCACGGGTGGGTGCAGTGCCTACACAATGTCTAGCTGCTCGGCCTGTGTCTCGTCATTGGGCCCCCCTGTCGAGCAGTCAATAGGCAAAGAAGTGCTTTGGTGAAGCAGAGAGGAACGGGACTAGTAGGGCAGGGCAGGTGAGCGCACAGTATGAGCCTTCCTTGTAGGCATGGTAGCGGCGGCCATTGCGGTACTTGTAGTTGACTACGGCCGACTTGAGCGATGTTGTCTCGCTGCAACGTGTGTGGTTAGAAGCGGCTGTTCCCTGGCCGATGTGGGATGGGACATGGTGTAGACTTACGAAGCCGAGTCATCGCCAAAGGCCGAATCCGTCTCATCCGAGTCCTGGTCGAGAGTCAATCTCAGAGGCGGGACAGGCACGGCCACCGGTGCAGCTGGCGGCTTACAAGGGCGATTTGGGCGCCAATGTCAGCCATGGGCGGCAGGGAGCAAGACAACGGTGAATGGGGTGTTGGCGGGGATGATGCAGGTGGGTGAGGGCCGGCGTGCAGTAGGTATGTGCGAGTGGGTGTGTGGGAGGGAGGGTGAGGGGAATGGAGTGAGTGCGATGGCCTGGCCCAAGCCTCTGCGTCTTTCTGATCAGGCAGGTGCAGCCCAGTCACGCAGTCGACACACAGCCAGTCGACAGCCAGGCCAGCCATGAGCAGCTCATCGTCCACACGGCTCGGCACGCTTGCATCCGCGAGTGGGCCTTGGCGTGCTCACATGTACGCACCGCCTGCGCACACGACATACCATACGCCCCGCTCGACCCCACCACCACCTCGACGCCTGCGCTCCCTTGCACACATGCCAGCAATATTACACAGGACAGCCAGGTAGGCACAACCACTCACATCGCCACCCAACTTACGTACTCAAGTCCTGGCTCCTGGCTCCTGGCACTGGATTAGTACCGCCCCGCCCCCCCCGTCTGCGATGCGGCTCCCAAGTCGTCTTGTCGCCTATCGCTCCCATGTGCACAGTGCTCCGTCCACAGCAAACGGCTGATGGCTCTGGTTGGTCATTGTCGCACGTAATCTACTCGGCCTCCTGCGCAGACGTCATGGAGCCTGCGGCGCAATCACGAAAGTCAGAGGCCCAGAATGCACTGGCAATGTCGTACAACTAACTGGCTAGCTGCCCTTCTTTCTCCCTTCTTCCCGCGGCACCATACCAATGCCAATGTCCCTACTCTCCCACGCACCCGACTCGGTGGTACTCGTCTCCGCCGCCCTGGCCGCCCTGCTCGCCTATGTCGTGGCCGCCCTGACGTACAACATCTACCTGCACCCACTCGCCAGCTTCCCCGGCCCATCTCTGGCTGGCGCCACCGTCTACTGGAAAGCCTATGTTGAATGCATCGCAAACCGATCCTTTTGCCACTACCTAGCCGACCTGCATGCTCGCTACGGCCATGTCGTTCGTGTCGGCCCCAATGAGGTAGGTAAGCAAGCACGCAAGCATTCATTGCTTGCATTTACACCTGCGCCGCAATGTTGACAAGCTTCGAATAGCTCCACTTTGCCAACCCTCAAGCCTACCACGACATTTACAACAACAAGAACCGCTGGAACAAGGAGGCCCGTCTCTACAAGAGCTTCAATGAGGACAGATCCAGCTTTGGCTTCCTCACCTACGCCGAGGCCAAGGACCGCAAGCACGTCCTGAATCCCTCCTTCTCCCAAGCCGCCATTCGCAGTGCAGAGAGCTTATGTGCCGACAAGATCAAAGCTCTGTGTGCCGCCTTTGAGCGCCAAGCTAGAGCTTCCAAGCCCACTGACCTCTTCTACGCTTTTCGCTGCATGAGCGTCGATGTCATCACCACTCTGTGCTTTGGCAATCCCATTCATGCTGTCGATGCCCCGGACTTCAACGCTCCAATTGTCGTAGCCCTCGATGCCTCAACTCCCGTCGCCCTTTACTTCAAGTATTCTGATCTCTTCAAAAACTTCATTTTGAAATGTCCTCCCACGCTCTCCAGGATTCTCAGCCCCTTGACGGCGGGCTTGATTGACCTCAACCAGGTATGCCCCTTTGCCGTCCTCCATGTCATTGCAATGCCGAAACCAAAAAACAAAAGTAAAACATAGAGCAAAACCCGTTTTCCATTGCTGACAACCTCATAGCTACTCAGGCAGCAGATCAACGACCTAACCAATGACCCGGAAAAGCTTAAACTCCTTCCGCACAACATGACCATCTTCCACCGTTTAATGGATCCAGAAGCCCATCGTGACAAAAAGGTTCCTTCTGCGGATAGCTTGTATGAGGAGACGCAAGCGCTCATGTTTGGAGGTGCAGATACGACCGGAAACACTCTCATGGTTGGCTCTTTCCATTTGCTAAAAGACCCTACTAAATTACAAAAACTCAAGACGGAACTCCTAGAATATTGGCCTTCCCTCCAGGATGGCGAGCCTAAGCTAAAAGAGTTGGAAGACTTACCATACCTGAATGCCGTCATCAAGGAATCGCTGAGGATCTCGTCCGGCGTTACTTCTGGCCTACTGCGCGTGGTACCTGCAACCGGCGCAACCATAGCAGGAAAAGCCGTGCCACCAGGCGTACGTACATTCTCAACTCCAGCTTACGACGAGCTATCTGCTGATTGTATGCCAGACTATTGTGTCATGTGGTAGCACCTTTGTCCATTACAATGCAGACATATTCCCGGAACCAGACAAGTTCGTTCCTGAGCGCTGGCTTGAGGCACCCGAGCTGGACAACTGGCTGGTCGCTTTCTCGCGTGGCCCGCGAATGTGCTTGGGTATCAAGTAAGTTTGATCCAAATCGTGACTTTTCTACTATACCTGTAGGACTAAAACTAATGGGTTCCAGCCTCGCATGGGCCGAACTGCGCCTAACATTTGCCCACGTCTTTCGAAAGTTCGACATGACTGTTCCGAAGCAACTGTATGTTTCCCGCCATCCACCCAGTCATTCCATTCTTAATCGGGCATCTTCATGTCACATACTGACCATACACAGGCCAGAAACGCTCCTCTGGCGGGATGTCTTTTTGCCGTATTACTATGGCGAACACTTACAGGTCAATATGCGCCCCGTAGACGCGTAGACCGCTCGCGAGCTGGATACCCAAGCAAGCATTTCCGCATGGCAGATAGTAGAGTAAGGAAGCGAATGCACATTAGACTCAAGAGAGAAACAATCCCGAGCACCGGAAGCTTTATGCTCTAATATTAATACATTATGCACAGGCGAATTGGTGGTGCTTGTGGTGTCGATTCACTGGATCAGAAATGACACCAGACTGCGCTAATCGTACATTGCATCCCAAAAAGAAAGCCTTTGCCTTGTTCATCATTATCAGCCTCTTTTTCCGCCTCTTTGTTAATGAACAGGCTACCTACACTGCACAATATGCACCAGAATCGTGCACGTATTCAGAGCGCTGCTACAAGGGCGTGGTTGGAGTGGCTACGAGGAAAAACCATCCTCCTATTCCCCTTCCTCGCGCATTTTGTCCCACGCGTCATACCAGCCTTTCATCTCCCATCTTCTTGACAACATCCACTGCTTTGTCTTCTCGTTCGCGTAGAGTTATGGATGCTCCCACCACTTTTCATGCACACTGTACATACCCTTTTCAACATCCTGGTCGTTTGGACGCCGGATGTTCCATGTGTAGGCCAGTTCGCGCCACGCCATGGGGCCGTCCCATCCATGTGCATAATTTATGAGATTTTGCTCGGGATATCTTGGGTCAAATGAATAGGGTATATCTAGTATGAGCGACTTGTAGTACTCAAAGGCAGTAAGTGAAGGTGCGAGTATGAAGAAGCCCGCATTCATCTGTCCTGGCTTCTTCAAGCCCGTGCCATAGGTTGGAGGAAACGAATGGGTCGAGTCCCATGCTTCGGAATTGAATGCAACAAGGTAGGTCGATGGCAACGTCGTGTTGGAGGGTTTGGTAGCAAGCAGATGAACGGCCGGATCGTCAAGTAGTACTGGATCCAGCAACTTTAACAGCATCGAGTCGGCGTCAAGCATGAGAATCCTGTCGTATTGCACCAGTTCCCACGCGCGCATTTTAGTCGTGACGTCGTCCCAGCGATGCACTGTGGGCTTCAGCCATCCGTCATTCGGTGTGTGGAGAAGGTCGAACTGCGTGCACAATTGCGCCATCTCTCTTGAGCCGGTCCCGTCTCGACTGCGACACATTGGGTGTAACCATGACAATCACGTCGTGCTTTGTTCGCGTGCTCAGATTGTGCACCAGCTGCCACACGAGGATGCGCGCAGCGATAAAGTAATTGTCCTTTTCTAGATCGTCGCTTGCATTCAGGCCTTGCGTCGTGAAGATCAAGTATGCATACTTCTTCGCGTCCTCGCTTATTTCTTCTGTTGCTAACTCGTATGGCGGTGGCGTTGGTATGGGTGGTGTGGGTTCGAATGGGTTTTCTTGTGCAATTGTCTCCTCTACAGGTATCTCCTCCGGCGCTGTTTCGGGTGTACTGGGCGTTGCATCTACTGGCTTTCCTTCCCATGGTTTCCCATCAAGCGGCTTCTCCTTGACAGGTAGCTCCTCTTTGACGGGTGATGATGTGGGAACGGCTAGTTTCTCCACGGTAGAGGATGGCCCTAGATCAACCGGTTGTTCTTCAGCAGACGAGCCGTCCAGAATTAGTGGTGTATCTAGGAAAGTTAACTTTTCTTCGACAGACTTGGAACCCTTGTTTCCAACGATGTCTTGCGAGGATATCTTTTCGAAGCTCCAATGGAAGATCTCACTCTGCGTACCGAGGAACAGAAATATGGAAACTAAAAGACAGGAAAACAAAGTGATTCGAAGCCACCGTTGATTGATAAGATGATTGTTCCAGGTCCTCATGGTAGCGTATGAGCCTAGAGCAGCGGCACTCTGGGTCGAAGGCAATGAAGAGGATTGCCCTTCGACGACATGTTCTCATACTCCTCAACGTAATCACTCTCAACTCTTTCCAAGAGCGCCAGTCCATGATCTTACTGACCAAGAGTGTACACAGTAAGCACTCATCAAAATCCATACAAGTAAGCAGTCGTCCCGTCCCATGCTCTGCTTCGGCGCTCACTCCGAGACTAAGCCACTAACACCAAGCTTGACACTGCGTACCACCAAGGATCACGATGAAAGAGTCCTTACTAGTACAATCTCGCTTTCTGAAATTTTCGGAATATTCCAAAGTCCATCATCATGGCGCTGACGATTCGACCATGGGTTGTGGATTGTCATCCCACGGCAATACCACATCAGAGTGTGACCGCAGTGCATAGTAACATTTACTTTTACCAACCTTCACGGACTGCTCAGCCTCTTGCGACACATGACCTCACCTGAATGCCAATACCCCTACACAGGACTCTGCAAGAGTGCGCTCAAGGTCTCACGTTGGCGGTCACGTTCCCATAAATGCGGTTGCATGTCCCAAAGAGTTGAATATGGACGCATCGCTAGAATGACGATCCGCAATGTGAGATGCTACATAGTATCTTTAACTAAAAAAAAAGACCAAGTAGAGGATCGGATCTGGGCGTAGTGACCTTGACAAATCAGACATCAGCACTAAAACAGGCTTGAGCATGTATTAAATTCTGAAGTTGCAAATCCCCTACCCGATGACTTCCAACGACTCGTCACCCCCTGCGTTGTGGAATTTGGCAGCCAAAGTAGATTTCATGTATCTGATTAAGACTCGATGATGAACGTCGTGTAAAACTATCAAAACCCAGTTTGTCCTGTTAGATGACAACTCGAAATCTAGTTACAGATCTTGCGATAGCTCGAGATAAAAGAATTGTCGCTTGGATTTTTTTCTATTACCGGCTAGTGTCCTCATTCTGACTGCGCTCTTGGTTCGTGTATTCTCGCCGATCCTTTGCCAGCATCAGTATCGGCTTCTGGCACGGACACACTATCTTGTGCGGTAGACTGAGGTGAGGCTCTTGACTCATGCCGAACTCCCAGCTTGGTTCTTCTTCTTCTTGCACTTGCACCTCCTCGTCCATAATGGATTTTTCGGCATTGCCAGAAGCGCCTTCTTTGTATTAAGAAGCTCCCATTGCGGCAGAACCGGCCTCGTTGTTGATTTCGTGAGCATGGCACGAAAGTCGATCCTGCTCCCTGGTAACTTATCGCCTTCCATAGCATCTCCATGGGCATCCATTGCCCCTCGAAGGCCTGCTATTTCGCGGCATGCAATGGTGAATTCTACTGGCGCTTGAATTGTGTGTAGGTGGAGTCTAGCGCTAAACTCTTGTGCTTTTATGTTAAATTTCTGAGCTAGTTCGTCTACGTTTCCAGAAGCAACTCATGCATTGTACTTGGATAATCCTCACACATTTTTGGGCGGTACGGGATAGCTTTTAGAGAGGACTTGGGGATTTGGGACGTTGTAATCAAGTTCTGGCGTCGTTTTTTGGGATTGGTTCAGTTTAAGTAGGGTTGGGAGTGGCAAAGCTCGGTTTTGACTGGACAGATAGGTCGCAATCTCACCTTCCTCGATCTAGTCTCTAGCTTAAATACAATGACTCTCTCTTGGATCTGCGGTTGACACTAGACAGTTCAGACCACTCAAGCAATCTATTAATCATTGGACTGCCAAAACCCACATTAGCCTCGACCCCATTGGATGCGACGGCTCCTGATTTGATGCTTCTCAGCTATGAACTAAGTATCGTTTACCCATGGGACGCATGGACTGAATGCGGGAAAGCTCTTTGTTTCGATGACATGTTCATACTGCTGAAGCAGCGATCAGAGTTTCAAGTGTTCGCAAAAGTCTGCGCCCTGATTCCAACCTCATGAAAGACATTAGGAGGCCAGGCAGGTCAACTACCAACAGAAGATTGGAGTCCCAACTGGATGGTTTTCATGAATTCATCTCAATTCAAAAGGTAGTGAATGGATGAAAATTGATGAAAGGAACCCTGTATCAGTTCTGCCCAGATTCGTTGGAGTGTCTTCTACAATTCATAACTTGATCGTGCATACCAAGATATCCTAACACCATTAAATCTGGTACTGGGAACGCTCGGAAATAAGTCTGTACATTTATTTGGATAAATGCGCAATTCATGTGAAATGCATTTGTGCGCGTGTACAGGGGAGACTCTCATACAGGCTGCTCCCCGCCTATACCTCCCCTACGTACGCACAGTCGATAAGCTCGGCACTCCCGAAGCTGGCCATCCAACCGAATTTGGCCACCTAAATAACTCACACGATTTTCGATACCTATGCAATAGAAATGGGCTCTGCTGAAAAAGCTTTACGATTCTTTGTTCGCGATTTCAACGCTATTGTTTTCTTCTCAACACAAGCTGCCTGGAGGGCGTAAATAACAACTCGAAGCGTGCTTGCTACCCGACTATAAGGCACATAAAAGCGTTAATTCAGTCACAAGTACCGGCAAAGATTACCCCCAGAGCAGGAGGAACTTCCTTGTTGCAGCTTTAGCTACATATCACGATTGGTCTCCAGAGGAGTTTAGTTAATGAAGATATGCGACCTAATTTGCTCTAATAACCTCTCTGCTTATTGGCTGTGATAAGATATCAACAATCTCCGTATTTGAACATTTAGCGCTTGGCCATGCGATGAATGCGAGAATCTCAACTAAATTAGCCAGAAGACTAGCTCCAAATCCAGCTAGAAAACAAGTCAAAAAGGTCAGCTCTACACAGCAGACGCTGGATGTAAATATTGCACCTTACATCATATATACAAAATGGATAACTCTAACAGCCTTGCTGGTAGTGCTAAAGAAGGGGTGTAACTTCAGCAGTGGATCGCAATTGTAACATCGAGCTTCAGCTGCAACTTCTAGTCAGGCTGTCAGAGTCATAGCTTTCATATAAATATCACTAAAATTGTATTGTTATCAATTGAGATGCTTTATTACATGTTATAGCGATTCCCCATGGTTGTTGCCGACATATGTAGTTGTGTTTTTTTTAGCGGTTTTTAGTTGGTTCTTAGACAGGCTCCTGAAATACCAATTTAGAATAAAAATTTGCAGGAGATGTTGTGAAAACAATTTAAGAATAGAAGACACTTTTATGACCCACTGACCGGCGATGGATCGAGTTTCAAACTTGCGACTGAAACCCTATTGAATATGGCACGAACATTTGAGATTACCATACATGGCACCAACATAGGCCATCATTATACCAATTCCAAGTACACACAGTATAAGGATAACAACAGGTAGCACTACCGCATTGCCAAGGACACAAGAAGCACACTAATGTAATCTTAGATATTGCCTTGAAAGGAGAGATGATTTCAAAAGTGTTCAATACACGTACCATCTTGCACACTAGCATCCATGGGCCCTTGAGATGCAAGACGCTCCTTGGGAGAGTTTTCGAAATCATCTATCAAAATTCAGTTGTTTTCATTGCTAGTAGGAGGATAAGCAATTACAGCGTGCGGTTGTGTTTTCAGAAACTGCGTTGACCGGCCCTCCTAGCGAATGGGCGACGTGGAACACAAGGCAAAGAGCGATAAGCTTGGTGTTCATCATGGCGTAACGGTTATAAACCAGAGGTATTTAAGTTATTTGAATGATAACTTGATGATGGTGCGTTAGCAGACAGTTTGAGCAACTTTAAATATTCAAGGCCTTTACACAATAGCGAGCTAACTACCACCCAAGAAGTTTAGCACACACTCTTACTGTAGCATCTAGATTGCGCAGACCTCTCTGAAGATGACCAGCCGCAGCTGAATGCGACAAAGCTTGGATCAGGTTTTTCTCTATGGTCTTCCCTAGGTTCCAATATTTCTCAAGTACAATTGTCATGGATCAAAGTCCTGTACTTTGCATTGGCATTATGCAAGGCTAAATTAACCTTCATTTACCGTAGCTGAATGTGCAATGTGCGAGGTAGGCACTGGATGCAGTCATCGACGATGGAGATGTTTCATATATGTAGTCTCTCAGTACTTTTTGATGTGCTTGGGTGATCGATTAGACTGCTACCTTCGCCCTAAATATCATGTTGCACAAACTGGTCGTTGGTGTACATTCGAGTAATGCATGATGGAGAGGAAAGTTGTTTAAAGATTGCTAATGTTCTCACCAGCACACAAGGGAACCAAGAAAGGAAGAGTATAGTAAGATTATGTAAGAAAAATCGTCTTAATAGGAATAGTAAGCGAACTACTGCTTGTAGATATATGCGGGGTCATTCTGAAACCGAGTTATACGAGGGTGAATTAAATGGCTTTCACACGAAGAATGACTAACAAAGTTAGAGTATGCCTGTTGTCTAGCCTGCGTGATCTTGCTTACATCGTCTTTCGGGCTACGTACGTACGTAGTAGTAGAATCTGTTGCCCTGATTATACTAATAGCAGCCCCGCACAAACCGACAACTCACGCCGCCACATAGAGTATGCCACTGATAAAATCTCTTACTAAACTTAGGTAGTATACTCTCATCTGTATTGCTCCTGTGGCAGCAGGAACCATCGGCCTAACAAATGGCCATACCTACAACTTCAATTGATTTACTTGGCAGCTAGTCTGTGCCTCGCGGCCTAGGCCCATGTCTGAGCTGAGCATTCTCGTGAACATAGAATAGAAGACACTTACTAACGATGCTTATCAAAGGTCGGTTAATCCGATATTGCTAACATGCGATGTGTGAGAGCATGGAACGGTTGAAAATTGGTTCATGCAAGTACCGTATTTCTGACGTAGCGATGAAGCTGATCCATTTTATCATGGTGTTTCTTGGACTTGCAGGGATGTGAATGTGAGGTATGGCAGTAAATGGATACTTGGAATGTGATGCTGCAGTTGCCTTGCGCTATAAGCTCCGTGGAGAGGTGCACCTGCTGACGCTCAATGCACGCAGCTACTTTGTGCGGAGACGGTACCATGCACGCAGGCCGGGGCTGACCATTTCCAAAGGTGGTACACTTAAGCAGCGATATGACGGCGGGCTAGTCGTTCAAGCCAATGTTATACCAGTAAATCTTAGCTCTGCAGTTCTGCATGCAACATGCAATTAGTCGTGTTCTTTCTCCCAGTACGTAAGCGGAGAGAGTAACGCGCTGCAGTTGATTAGCGAGCAGAAGCACTGGCCGACGACTAGGCTGGCTGAGCTGGAAGACGACGTATTTGTCGTACGTCGTGATGTGTGCTACTACCTTTCGGCCTTGTGGCTGCACCAGGGACAAGCGTGGATGCTGGATTGATTGGCTACGCACGGTGCCTAGTGCAGAGAAGCTCTACCAACAGCGCGTACAGTGGAGACAGCGAGCAGCTCAACACTACCTTCAACAGATGGATCGTTTCCTAGAGCTACCCTGCCTTGCTGTTCATCTTACAGACGGCCAGCCACGTCGAGACCAAAGTTACTTTCGGTACGCTGGCGTTACAGCGTTACGGCGTGCTGCAAGACCGCAATTGTCATCGACGGCCAAGTCGCGTTTACCACTCGCTACCACAAGGCATGGTGGCAGTAGCACATACCCAAGGTAACCGCGCCGTTCTCGCCCAAGGAAGTAGAGCAGTTAAAGATGCTGTACCTGCGGCCCATACGCGCGATACTACTTAGCATTAGTCAAGGCTAGGTAGCTACATAAGTACTGCATCAGCGAGCACTACGTATGTATTATCTCTGGGCTTGCAGCAGTGAGCCCTAGAACACCAATCACCTCACGCGTACCATGAAGGCAAAGTACCGTCATGTAGAAGAGCGCTTCACTGCAGGCTACAACAAGGGATGAGCGAAAAATCTAGATCTGTTGCTGCTGCTGCTGCTAGTGTAGAGACGGCAGCTTAGATGAGGACGAGGATAAAGAACATCCTATAGAGCGGCAGAAAAGCTGATCTACGGCGACTAGAGTAGTAGTGTACGCAGCGTAAATAGATATTGTTTAGGGCCAATTCCGCGACTGATTGACGCATGAACACTCAGCTCAGCGTAACACGTGTTCCTTGGGCTCTCTCTTAAGCCGGGCAGTATGTCAGCAGCAGCATAGACAGCAGAGGCAGTAGTACCACAAGAGAGAAAGCGGGAACAGACGCCGAAGATCCTAAGCCTGTCCAGCAATCATTAATTTGTAGGATGGATTCATGAAACCTTTCCCCTTTGTTCTCTACCTGCAGCAGATATGTTGGCCACCTAATCTCCTCTTTAGATTAGATTGTAGCGAAGCAAGCAAAGTGAGAAGCTTGATTCGGCAAGCTAGTTGTATGTGTGGGCGAGTCGCACTGTTTCCTCGTTTGCTGCACCTATGGCACAGCCCTCCCGTCCAGCCGCACTTCTCAGCATTTTAGCAATTTAGTGAATCACAAACATGAGCGTCAAAGTTTGTTTCGAACTTCTCTGAGAGTGTAAGAAGCCCTAGAGCTCCGAACATCCCATCAAGTTTAACATAGAAGCCGATCTTTAAGTTTGGACTCGTCCTTCACAGCTAGCAGCATCGATACTGCATCTTAGTATTTATTCAACTCGGCTTCCGCTGCCATCTTTTCTTAGATTCCCAGGACAGCGAACCTCGCCTGGTAGTCTTTTGTAATACCAAGAGAATAAAAAAGCACTGCACAGACGTGCATAGCTCGAATGTCTATCTATATCCAATAGTAGTATCTGGCTGTACTTAATCAGCTGCTGTATTGAAGAAAAAGACAAGAGAGAAGTTTGTTTGAGGCCTGAAACTAATAGTCAAGATTACGATGAAGAATCTAGTCAATGTAAAAGATTTCTAGGTTTTTACGATTTAGATCATTCTAGTAGCAATTACTCAACAGGAACTATTACTTCAATACAAGCTGTATTAGCAAAATTTGTGAGACTAGCAGGGCAAATATCAGCAACGTTGCTACTACTCCTAAGCAAGGGGGTGCATTTTCGTACTAGCTCCTATACGAAAAGAAAGGCTGCAGTTGGAAGATTGAGATATAAGTAATTACTACTGTATGATCGCGGGGAGGAGGGGAGTGCTTCATACATGCTAAACTTGCGCTGCCAATTCTAGAAACGAGCCTCGTCTACGAACTATGTCTACGTTGCCCGACGCGATGCGACTTCTGAAGTATATACTGTGGCACGATACGTGATCAAGCTCAAAAGATCAGGAGGGTAACGCGCCATCGAGTAGATGGAAGCAAGCTGATGGCTGATGGCTGTAAAGGATTCATTGAAGAAGGTGCCTATCTACGTACGAAAGAAAACCGCGATACATACTACGAACTAATCACGCCATACTACACCACAGTACCTGATAGTAGTCTTGGTTTGGATGAAATCTTTGTAAGTGAAGAAGAGGCCCCTCCGTATGCAATGATATTGCATACGTTGTGGGATGGGTATAAAGCGACCTTAGAGACCTATTGACTGGTAATGGCAAGACCAACGCTGACAATAGCAGAGGTTATATTCTGCGCACGACAAGCTCAGCATTGTCTGCAGCGCACAATCTCTGAATATATAAAGCATCATCAATTCCTTCTAGAGTTGCCACATGGTACTCCGCAGACTATATCGTCACACTCCTTCTCTAGTTTTATTCACTCTTTAACCTAACTTTTTCTGTCCGTCCATTATTTTCAACTTCTAACATGCATCTTACCACGATTTTGTCTGCGCTTGTAGCAGCTTCAGGTATCCTAGCAGCTTCTACGTCGCTTGAACTCGGTGCTCGTGCTGTAGTCAACCACGACTCCCTCAACCCGATCCGGACTCCCATGCAACCAACAAAACTGGAAAATGGCGGCCCCATCAACCGCGATGCAACATCACGCCAAAACACCGCCAAAACACCGCATTTTCGCATA